GCGGGAGACAAAATCATGTTATACGTCATCATCATTATGCACTCGGGCGGACGAGAGAAATCGGATATTGTCGTCGAGAGTCGACCGCAGATTCATCGTCATTCATCAAAGAGAGAAAAAAATGACGACTCCAGACGAGAAAAAAGCAATCAGCAAGAAAAGCAGTACCCGCTGGCGATCTCGCTAACGGGTTGATGAAACTCTCGTATCGCGCGGAATCATTTATATTTGCGAAGAACAAATCTCATCCAGAAACTAACATTCTAACTTGAGTATTATACTTCAAGTTTAGATGTTTAGATGTGCTCTGATTTATATGGTAGGATGCTCTATCTCAGGACCCGAGGGCTGCAACCTGTTCATCTACCACCTGCCCCAGGAGTTCGGTGACGGCGAGCTCATGCAGATGTTCCTCCCGTTTGGCAACGTCATCTCCTCCAAAGTCTTCATCGATCGGGCGACCAACCAGAGTAAATGCTTTGGTAAGTGCGACGGCATTGCGGACAAATTTCAGAGCGTCTAGCGACAACGAAAGATACGTTCCACCTGATGTACGGTCGATCCTTGACAGCCATTACGCAAGGTAGGACAAAGGACATCAACGTTTCGGTATTAAACAACAAGTGTGGAAGTGGATGTAAAAACTATTCCTCAAATTTTAATATATATTTCGTCTTTTACGTTGCACAATTGTACAATTTTAATTACGATGAAAGCTAGGGCAAAAAGTAATATTAAAAGACCTGTGTATATGTACATATTTTTCTCATAAAAATAATTTAATATATTTAATAATTTAATATATTTTTACTTTGAACCGTATAACTAGACTGGCTCATGTAACACGAAAATAATATAATCGCAACATGCACGGACGACATATACATATATTCATGATTATTATTATGACTTTCGATCAGTCACATGCTACGTGTTCTAAATGACTCTACACATTTCCAATCAGAGACTGGTGGATTAATCATGGAAATTTAATTCGTCTCGTCCGTATTAGCGGACAGACCGGACAGACTGAATATGAATGCCGTTTCAATGGAACCGGAATCAAACTGCGCAGTTCTTTTTTAGAGACTACGCAGAGAGGACCGAAACAGAGAATGCGGATAAAAGCCGCTGGCGTTCCTTTGATTAATCGTATCCGGGAATATGAGGATACGGATAATTGGACGATTCCATTCCGTTCGTTCGGTCCTTGGTCTACCTTCGCGTTCGTCCACGTACGATTCATATATTTGCGTCCGTTTATTTTGTCTCGCCCCGTTTCAGAGACTCGTCATTCTCAAAAAAAAAAAAAAAAAAAAAATGAAATAGGCAACCACGCGTTATTATGTCTACGTTTGATTATGTCCATTTTTTTCGTCCTGTCGCGCATATAATTATGCCCGTAACGTAGAAAAAAATATGCGAAAGTTTATATCCCTTTGTAGAGCTAGTTTCCATAGTTTCCACGCCGCGATCAATTTGGCGAAAAGATTTTTTGACGCGACAGTTTCTGTCGAGAATTTGCGTTGTATAATTATAATCATCGCGATTGGGAGACTATTGTTTTCCTACGTGGGAGCGAAATGTATCGCGTGCGAAAGATATTGGTTGCGAAAACGCAATATAACTTGATCTTTCTTCTCTCACAAATTATTTCCATGGGACGAAAGGTTGAAAATAATCAAGGTAACCCTTAGTCCTGAAATAAAAGTAATTTGTGGAGCAGAGAACCACCAGTGGGCGAAAAACGAAGAGACTTGGTCAAACGATTTAGACCGCCATGACGTCGAAACTAAAATGGTATCGACGCTGATGGTCAAAATTGGTTTAAACCGAGAAAGTCGTGACGATCTTTCGAAAAGGTTCCCGTCGAGGAGCTTCGTTATCGTGTACCTGCCCTTCTGGTGTAACTTGGGTAATATCCAACCCACGAACGAAAATTTTTTATTTCTTGTGATTTGGTTTATTTAGATTATCCTATTTAACTCCTAAATAATCAATTTTATCCTCAGAATGTTTCAGCTATAAAAAAAATACTAAAACCATGTTTTTTTCTTATCGCATATAAATATATTTCGCTTTTATTATGTAAAATTGTTATTTTAAATTATCATTTTGTATTATAATTATTACTGCTATAATACTGCATTTATCGATAACTAATACTTTTGCCATACAGATATTTGACCTTTCCTTATGATTTTACGGACTAATAATAAAAATATATCTTTTATACGATATTAAACGAAGATTTTCATGAGGGGCAGAAAATCTATTACACCCTGCAGGATTCAACGTTCGATATTTTCAGGTTTCGTGTCGTTCGATAATCCAGCGAGCGCGCAAACAGCGATCCAAGCGATGAACGGCTTCCAAATAGGGATGAAACGATTAAAAGTCCAATTGAAGAGGCCCAAGGACGCCAGCCGGCCATACTAACCCACGTCCTAGCCTAGAAAATCTGGACGAGTCGCGCCCTATGTCGTAACTTACAGAGTAAGTTCCCTTTCTCGCGAGAAGAAGACACTTACGTTACATATTTTTAATCGGAATGATATTATTAATTTCAAAATAATATCAACGTAAATTTTATTAATTCTTTAAGTAATAGTACTATTAATTTATAAATGTAGAAAAAAATTCTATTGCACATTTAAATCTTACCAATTACACAGTGCCGTCGCTCTGAATTACAGATGACGTCCGAGAACGTAAACTCGATGGACGCTCGACGATCAGGAGTGACGAGTTGAATCACCGTTACAACGCTCTCCACCATAACAACTTAGTATACTAGCTAGTTAATTCATTAGAAGGTAAAAATTTAGAAATCAGTAGGATTGCAACGGCTTCAACGTCGTTGAAGTTCGTGCGGCGGCGGCGAAGAGGCTGAAGCGAAAGCGATGAAGGATGTTCTGCGCTGAACCCAGTCCGAGGAGAAGAAGAGCTGAAGAGAGAAGAGGACGAAGCACGCTGAGACGACGTTTCCCGGGTGTTCGGATAATCCGTCGATAGGCAACATCGGGCTTTCACCTGTGTCTCCCTTTCATCCACTCCCATCTCGAAATCTGCATGTTTCTTTCTGTCCTCCACGAATCTAGCCTCTGGTCCCTACTGCCAGGTGAGAGATCACGTTCGAGCTCGAAGACGAGAGCGCGAATGGACACCAGCGTGCAGCGTGCGGAACCCGTCGCGGACATTTTCGGAGGATCCGATCATCCTGGAGAGACCCGCCGGAAGCACTGGAAGTATTAAAAACCGATCGTGTCGTCCGAGTGTACACGGTGACGACACGCTGTTTCAGTTACATGCGCGAATTACGACATCGCGCCGCGACGATCGTTCAGCATTAAACCGACAATAGCTATCCCGTCAAGTATCCCGTCGACAAACGCCCCTAGGAATCTCGTCGTATTCGTTGCCAGTTTCGACGCACAGCGCGGAAAAGATGCCACGGACGGAGGAAAACTCGCTGGACTCGTACGCCCGGTTTCGATCGATATCCTCGACGAGGACCCGATCGCGTCGGATCGCCGTATCCGTCGATCGGACAGAACAGCTAGACGATCACCGTAGTACGAGAGGCTGACGAATCTTTTGTACCGCACGAAACTAACGATATAGTTGTCAGTTGACGAAGATCCCGCGCGCGTCATTCTCGACGACGACGAGGGAGATAGATGATAATCCCCGTGCGACTGACGAACGTAGGATAAAACGCAGACTCGTCCCGAAGACGCGGACGATATCTCTCTCCCAAAAAGACAAATGTCAATCATACGCTATACAGGGTGCTCGTCTGACGAAACGCGTCTGAAAACTTTGACAAAAACAAAAAGACAAAAAATTAAAAAAAAAAAAAAGAAGAAAAACAGAGAATCGAGCGGCGGACATGGGCTCAGCGCCGGTCCGACATCCCCGCCGGATATCGGGTTCTCTTTAACGTTTAAGGTTTAAAACACGTACCGCGCTGTAGATTTTATATACCGCAGATAGAGAGTGAGAGAATGCGAAAGAGAGAGAGAAAGGGAGAGAAAGTGTGCGTGAAGAGGAGTCTGCGTGTGTCGTGCTGCGCGTCGAGGAAGAAGGCGGAGGTGATCCTGTCCTACTCGCGCGCGTTCGCACGGTGCTCGTCCTCCGCGACTAATAGCTCTTATTACTACTAAGGTTATGGTGATTATCATTATAATTATCGCTAAGTAAGTGACGCGCAAGTTTCCGGCCGAAAGTATAACCTACTCTGTTGTGGTTCCTGCGTGAACATCAAGAGAGGAATCGCGTGTGAGGGCGCGATTGTCCCGCCTGTCCCACCATCCGCGACTCGGTCCAACTCATGGACTGACGATCGACTTTGCCTGATCGGTTTAGCATCGCTCGGGAAATGTCAGCCAGGCTGTGATTGTCCAGATGATGACGACGACGTCCTAACGATAATCTTCTTTAAGTTTAGTAACGATGCTATTTTCCGTTGTTGTTGATGTAAGAAAAAAAGTAAGAGGAGGGAGGAAATAGATAAAGAAGTGAGAAGAAAACCAAAGAAAATGATAGAAGAGTAGTAATTGCGTAAAATGCAATATTTGTCTTAGAATCGCTTACTGTCTTTCCTTAGGCTGCGATATAAAAGGGAACAAACAAATAGAAGGCAATATTTTTTTTACGTTCGATTTTATTTTTTAAGTATAAATTGAGTTTGAGATGAATTGCGAGGGTTGATTTATCGTGCAATGATTTAACGATCTGTGTTTTTTATTCGATATTGGCCGGGACTCTAAATGATGTCAGATTTGAATGTATCCTTTCGAGAGAAAAGGACCGCGCGGCGCTGCCGGATGCAAGTTCGGCATGCCCAATCGATCAATCATGCGTGTTCATGTGGAATTCCTGTGACTGAAATAGATAAAACATTGAACATTTCGCGTGCGATGCCCGGTCGGATACGCAGAGTGTTTCGAGCGAGTTCACGAAAGAAAGCCAAAGAGCAGAGAGAAGGAGGGCGGGGGAGGGGAAGATGGGAAGAATAGGGGATGAAACAGACCGAATATTATATAAAATACGTGTAGAGTAGGTGATATAAGGTAGGCGAGCGATGGAACGGAGAGGAAAACTCTGATCTAGCGGAAATAATCATCCAAAGTACCAACACATATATAAATATATATATATATATATAATAAATATTAAATTAATATTATATGTATATCATATACATATATATGATATTATACATATATATAATATTGTATGTATATCATATACATATATAGTGATAATGTACATATATATGTATGTATACATACACATTTACATATGATGTGTGTACATGCGAATATATGTATCGATCGAAGGAAACTAGAGACTTAGTAAATTATTCTAGTTTTAGCTAAATCCACATCTAATAAATTATTACGCGGAGACATACGCGAGAATGAGAACGGGGAGAGGGCGAGTTTAGTGAGACGAGAAATTGCTTGGTCCGGCGCGCTGCTATGGCTACTTTATGTTTATATATTGCATTATACACACACACATATACATACACACACACACACACACACACACACACACACATAATATACATACATATTGTACCTACATTTTTTGGACGAGCAAAAATCTTCTCGTTTTACAATCCGCTCCGCGAATTTGTTGCTCGTCCGAATATGCAACGCGCGCATTACGCATGTTCACGCGACGCACGTGCGCAATTAACGGACACGCTCACGTACGTGCGCGCGTGTAATCGTGCGTGCACACGGGTGTACATACGAGGCTAATTATACGACGAAGAGAGAAGCGCTTGGAAGAAGGACTCTTGCTAGTTACGAATTGACGATATATATAATATTTAAT